GTCACATTTGTTTGGCCTTAAAAGAGTTCTATAGTTTGCTGAGCAACAATAAATCCATGTACTGCACCATGTGTGCATTTTCTCGACCATATATCAATACTAGCACAGCAAAAAGATGCAGACTTTTATACATTGTAAATAACCTGAATGCTGTATTGTAATTGAGGATGGATTAAGGTCGAGATAACTGTATAGAGAACCTGTTGGTACTGTAGTACTATCGTCCCAATAAAGTATGACTCTAGTCTAGTGTATCCCCAATGGATTAAGAGCAGTTGCCTGTCCATTCCCACAGGCTGTATGCCTGTGTCCAGCAGCTGCATATTGCTCCGTTTACACACCATTAGCAGGTTTAATGGTGGTGGAGAAAAGGCCTTAAACCAACTCACTGTTTACTCTTCAGCTCAGTAGTTGCAGCATGTTGGCACTGGCAGGACATGGGGCAGATTTAAACAGTGACAATAGGTGATTAGTAGCCTGTTTAAATGTTAAACAATGGTGAGCTCTGCATTTAGGCTGGTTTAACCAGGCTAGGTGATTAGAGCTGTAGATTTGTGACCTGGGGGTGTAATCGTCTTATTAGCTGATGACATCACGGCCAACACATGGGTGGAACAAGGAAACTTTTCTTTCTGTTTACTTTTGTTCACCAATCGGTGGCACTTTATTTTACATGACTGTTTCCACTGGTATTTTCTTTGTATTGAATAGGAAATTATGTGGGGGTAACAATGGGTACTTTTTGGTATTTACTTGACAAAATAGGCCTTTGTTCTCAATAAATCTAATATGTGCGTATCTATATCAAGGGAAAATATCACAATTAAACCATTGGACAGAGAAATGGCCAAGCCTGTGTAACCTACACTGGCATCTGACTTCAGTGACATTTTGCCTCAGTAAGGAGAAAATCCTGCTAGGACCTCCGACGAGTCATCAAACAGTCAAAACGTCAACACAGGACTAAGATCGAATCATACTATGCCGACTCTGATGCTCGTCGGATGTGGCAGGGCTTGCAAACTATCACGGACTACAAAGGGAAAGCCAGCCGCGAGCTGCCCAGGGACGCGAGCCTACCAGACAAGTTCAATTCCTTCTAGCTCGCTTCAAGGCAAGCAACACTGAACCACGCATGAGAGCACCAGCTGTTCCAGATGACTGTGTGATCTCTCTCTCCGTAGCAAATGTGAGTAAGACCTTTAAACAGGTTAACATTCACAGACTGATTACCAGGCTGCGTACTCAGAGAATGCGCTGAACAGCTGGCAAGTATCTTCACTGACATGTTCAACCTCTCCCTGACCCAGTCGGTAATACCTACGTTTCAAGCAGACCACTATAGTCTCTGTGCCCAAGAACACCAAGTTAACCTGCCTAATAGACTATATCTGTAGCTATGAAATGCTTTGAAAGGCTGGTCATGGTTCACATCAACACCATCATCCCAGACACCCTGGATCACTCCAATTCGTATACCGCCCCAACAGATCCACAGATGATGCCATTTCTATTGCACTCCACACTGCCCCCCACCTGGACAAGAGGAACACCTACGTGAGAATGCTGTTCATTGACTATAGCTCAGCGTTCAACACCATAGTGCCCTCCAAGCTCATCACTAAGCTCATGGCTCTGGGACTGAACACCTTCCTCTGCAACTAGATCCTGGACTTCCTGATGAGTCGCCCCCAGGTGGTGAGGGTAGGCAACAACACATCTGCCACTCTGAGCCTCAACAGGCGGGCCCCTCAGGGGTGCGTGCTTAGTCCCCTCCTGTACTCCCTGTTCACCCACGACTGCGTGGCTGCACACGACTCCAACAACATCATTACGTTTTCTGACGACACAAAGGTGGTTGGCCTGATCACCGTCGACAATGAGACCGCCTATAGGGAGGAGGTCAGGTGACCTGGCAGTGTGGTGCCAGGACAACAACCTCTCCCTCAACGTCAGCAAGACAAAAGAGCTGATCGTGGACTACAGGACACAGAGGGCCGAGCACGCCCCCATCCACATTAACGGGGCTGTAGTGGAGCGGGTCAAGAGCTTCAAGTTCCTCGGTGTCCACATCACCAAAGAATTATCATGGTCCATACACACCAACACAGTTGTGAAGAAGGCACAACAACTCATCTTCCCCCTCAGGAGGCTGAAAAGATTAGGCATGGCCCTTCAGATCCTCAAAAAGTTCAACAGCTGCACCATTTAGATAATCTTGACTGGCTGCATCACCGCTTGGTATGGCAACTGCTTGGTATCCGACCGCAAGGTGGTACAGAGGGTAGTGCTTACATCACTGGGGCCAAGCTCCCTGCCATCCAGGCCCTCTATGCCAGGCAGTGTCAGAGGAAGGCCCTAAAAATGGTCAAAGACTCCAGCCACCCAAGTCATAGACTGTTCTCTCTGATACTTCACGACAAGTGGTACCAATGCACCAAGTCTGGTACCAACAGGACCCTGAACAGCTTCTACCACCAAGCCATAAGACTGCTAAATAGTTAGTTAAAAAGTTAACCAAATAGCTACCCGCATTGACCCAATGCAATATTTTTTATAGTTTACTTAACTACTGATTTAGAACCATGGAGTTACCACAAGTCAGCACAAAGACAACAAGAACACTGCCTCCGCTATTCCACCACCATTTCAACTTAAACATTCAAACATCAACAAGGCTATATATGCTTAGTTTAATACACTGAAAACAAACTTAGATACCGAAAACTATTTAGTCTAATCAATGTTTCTAAATATAATGTAGCTGTCCATGGTACTGATTTGTGTTTGTGCATGCGCAAGTAAAACAAACAAAAATGTGTGACTCACCTACTTGTGGGTTAGTTGAATGCCAATGTCATCCTCCTCTCTTTCATATTCGCAAAACGGTCTATGGCTCTGTCATACAGTAAGTACACTTTTAGTTTTTGTTGTCATAGGCTACCTAGCTAAAATGCTTGCTAGCCTAACTTCCTCGCATGTGCAACAATGAACAAGCTAAGTTAGCTAGTTAACGTGAGCCTACTAAGCTACATCTAGGCTGCATATTGAACTTCAATCGTCTCAGGCCAGTGGCACAAAATATTAATTTATGGTTAGAACTGAATCACCATCATAATCATTGGGATGAATTGGAACGCCGACAGCGAGCCAGGCCTAATCGCCCAACATCAGTGCCCGACCTCAATAATTCCTCTTGTGGCTGAATGGAAGCAAGACCCGCAGCAATGTTCCAACATCTAGTGGAAAGCCTTCCCAGAAGAGTGCAGGCTGTTATAGCAGCAAAGGGGGGGGGGGGGGGGGGACCAATCTCCATATTAATGCCCATGATTTTGGAATGAGATGTTCGACGAGCAGGTGTCCACATACTTTTGGTAATGTAGTGCATCTACCTCAATAACCTCGTACCCCTGCACATCAACTCGGTACTGGTAACCCGTGTATATAGCCAAGTTATCGTTACTCGTGTATTTATAACTTGTGTTCTCATTTTTCTTTATTTTCTTTTTTTCTCTCTTCATTGTTGGTAAGGGCCCGTAAGTAAGCATTTCACTATTAGTCTACACGTACTGTTTACGAAAATGTGTGATTTGAAAAACCCACCAAGAGCCCATGGGAGCCCCTCAGGACTTTCAGTGCTATATCTGCCAGTTGGGTCAGTGGTCAGGGTTTGACTGCATGGTGACCTGTGTGACTGCAGGGCACAAGTTAAGCTGTCCTTTTATTCTTCCCCCCTCTCTGCCCTCGGACACTAGATAAGGGTTCAGAGGTCAGGGGTGGTCTCTGTGTCCACAAGGCGGTCAGAGTATTTGTAGTGGACAATCAGAGGGATGGCCATTACTGGCCCATTGAGAGGGAACAAGGGCTTTACTAGACTAGAGGGTCCAGAATGGACCAGAACAAACACACAGGGAGCAGCTGTACTCTTGACTTACTGGCTCGGCACTGTTTGTTACATTAGTAGAAATGATTGCATGGTGTCAACGGACTACCATTTTTTTTTATTTTTTACAATAAGAGGATGGTACTTAATTACTTTTGCTAAATCAAAGTATTTTTTTTAAATTTACAAATAATTTATTAAATAAATAGTTCCAATAAATAACATTAACAATATTAACCAACATTTTACAAAAAAAAGCATATTAATCACAATAGCCTTGACAAAAGATGGTCAAATAAAAATCTTTGGCTACATGACATGCTTATTGTACAAAAAGAGCAAGATGAATAAATACTTGAATGGACAGAGAAAAACTATTCCTGTTATCTGTTCATTCAATACAGTCCTGCAATTGAAACATATTTCAAAGAGGATTGTCAGTTGTGTTATCCTACAGCTCATTCCCTGTTGTCCAAATAAATAATCAATCAATACTGTACGTAATCAGTACATATAAGAGCAATGTGTCACTCAAGGAATGTGGTCATATTGCAGGATTTGATAATAAATAGTGCTTTGCAAGTAAGCAAGGTCTCATCATAAAATTGTAATTTCAGCACACACAAAAAAAGTCCCCATAGATTTTTGTAATTGGATTGCAGTCCTTGGTGAATTGGACAAGACTTTATCTTTCCTGAAATGACTTTCCTCCAAAAAATTCCTTGACATTTTCTATTTCTTAATCCTTTAAATTGTCCTTCATGGCCTTAATGCATCCTTATTTCTCATTTCAAAACTAAACGTTTTTGATGCAGACATCTTTCACTACCGACAGGATGAACATACATGTCAGACATGAAGATGGGAATACATCCAAGCTACCGGTACATCCATGCAGATAACAGATTACATTTCACAAGGCTCCCATCATCCCCTGTCATAATATCAACATATAAGTGTAGCTAAATAAAGTCATCTCCATCTCTTTAATTCAGCAGGGACAGCATCATCCACAAACACCACACAAACGAGTCTATGGATGGGGGCATGGTGACAGACAGTTTTACCCCAGGGAGTGGTGGATGATCACCCATCAGAGGAAACTGCAGCAGGCACACTACCAGGCCTCGGTACTGTCACAGCTTGATCCAGGGGAGGGGGCATCAGTGTCGCTGGCCAGGCCCCAGGTCCGGGAGGAGGAGTGGAGACGTTCCACATTTCCCCTGAGGAAGGTGAGCAGGGCGGTGGGGGAGTGCGAGGCCGGCTGACCACTCTGGCTCTCCAGCAGCTGCACCAGGAAGTTGATGTAGCGCATGGCCAGCCGCAGGATCTCGTTCTTGCTCAGCTTCTTCTCTGGTGGGTGGGTGGGGATGAGCTTGCGGAGCTCAGTGAAGGCAGTGTTGACGTTGTGCTGCCGCCAGCGCTCCCGTGTGTTGGTGAACACCTTCTTGGTCATAGTGCTGCTCTCCTGGATGGAGGAAGATAGGGGAGCGTTTTAGAGAGAAATCGACACAGAATAAAACTACCATGGTGTTGTTCTACTGGAAGGCAGAGAGGGAATGTTGTTTATGGCATCCCTGAAATTACACCCTATTCCCTATATAGTGCACTACTTAGCCCAGGGCAAAAGTAAATGTTCTTTGAATGTTATGTGACATTTTTCTCTGGAGTTTAGTCTGAAATGGCACTATAGTGCAGTACTTCTGTCTGATCAAAAGTAGTGCACTGTTTAGGGAATAGGGTGCCATTTCTCACGCAGACCCCAGGCAGAAATACTGTATGGTGGTGTCACATAACATTTTAATTGCACCTAAATCTCCACGATTACTAAAATATGGTGTATTAACACCGTAATGGTAAGAAATAGATGTAAAATATAGTTTAAGTATTACTCATGGAATGTATTTGATATTGGAATTCAGTTTAAACTTCAGAAGATGAGAAATACATCATGAAAATACATGTTTATGGAAAACGTCTGACCTTCAGTCAATGCATACAGAGGATGCTAGTGTGTTCGTCACGATTAGCGTACATACAAATAATTACACTTCTGTTGTATTGAACTATCTATTTCTAAATGGTACCCTCAAAAATGCAAACTGAAAATGTGTTCCATCTTTCATGAGATTCCTTAACATTTTTCATTCCAACAATTCCTTCCTCCAACATGTTTAATTCAATAAAGGAATTTATTGTCCATGATCTCACCTGTTAAGTGCTGTAGCGTCAGACAGAGGTATCAGAAGTGTGTACCTCAGGTCATCAGTGTTGGCTGCTGCAGTAGCCCAATGTAGTAGTCCAGTCCTGTGTATAGTAGGTCCAGTCAGTCCAGCCTTCTCATACTCTCTCTGATGACTGTGTGTGAGAGGGAGGGATGGAGAGAGGGAAGGCTGGCGCACACATCTCACATTTTTATAGCAGGGTGAGCCCCTATTGTGTGACGTGTGCGGTCGTTGAGCCTCTCCTCCAGTCTGCTGCATTGTGGTGTTCAACTCAAGAGTGATGTTTCCAGCCGCAGACCACTGTGTTTCCCGTTGGGTGTACTATTCTGTCTGTAAACAAAGAAATGACCAATAGGTTAGCTGTAAACATATGAATACTGATGTAATATCATACAATGCTTTACAATCTCTGAGAATATTGGGAAACTTTTACTTTCATATCATCCACTCCTTTTTGTTGAGTCATTTCACTAAATCATTCATTACTTTTAATACGGAACGATGTGACTATTAAAAGGTAACATTACGCTTACAAATACATTCCTATTGAGCTGAAACTGAGACGTTTCCCTTCCTGATCCTTCCCTTACAATTCCGGACACTTGTTCCCTTCTATGTGCAAACATCAACCATTGGTAAACTGTTCAGTAAAACGTTGATATCACCAGTCCTGCTACCACTGAATTCACCCTGATTGGGCCACAAAAGGTAAAAATACCATATCCAGATTGACAGTTTAACAATGTGGGTTTTGTTATGACTATGGTAATCTTGTTGAGCCATTCCAGGGGCCACACATAAATTACAGGGGAGCATGGGGAGCGAGCGGGCCAGTCCTTCCCTGAGCCACAAGCCATCTCTCTACAATCACTACTCCTCGGCCCACCTCTCCTACACCCCCCCTCTCTCTGCCTCCCACTTTCAACCTCCGTTTCAGATTTTTTTAAACGACGTCTAGTTTAACCAATTGTTACTGTTCTTTTTTACACCCTTCAAGTGTTGTTTCAAAGACGCAGCCTTCCATAAAAGTCTCTCTGTGTGGAGTAGGAATTTACATAATCCGATTAGGGCCTGGGATTAGCGCTGGGGTCTGGAGAACAGGCCCAATGGGGCCGGCCCTGAATTGCTGCCATTCATGGGCCTTGCTGCACTTCCAAGGGGCTGCACCTGCAGTGGTGGGTCCCCCACTCCCCTGCTCTCTCCACTCTACTCGGCCTCAGGTCTGCAGACACACTCACAGCAGGCAGTAGGCCCCTTCAGCCAGCCAGCCTTCCCCTCTGTCCCCATCCCCACACCAGGGGTGTATTCATTACGGTGATTCTGTGGCAAAAAAAATTGCAACAGAAACCGTTTACTCTAAACGGAAAACGTTTTGCAACGAAAACTAGAATTTCTATTGGACAAATTCAGATAGATCCCTCCCAGTTTCGTTCCGTTTGCTCTGTTTGCTTCCATTTGGTTCTTAAACAGTAAACGGTTTACGTTGCAAGACTTAATGAATACACCCCAGGGCCGCATTCAGCAGGGCCAGGGCACAACTTTGTGGAAAGATCAGATAGAAATGTATTATGTAGAATAAACATGCCACTCTGACATGTACCCCACCATGACCATGATCATAACATTCAGCTCAGCAAATGACTTTTATCTGAAGAGCTGTGGACTGTAGTTCGGCTTTAGCTTTGGTTTTCCTGTCACTGAGGGTAGTGTGTGGGGGTAAAGAACCAAAATCGGCTTGACGACCCTGAAGAAAACAACATAATGGAGAAGTGAGAAAAAAATACATTAGTCAGTTTTGTTCAATTGTAGATCTTATTGAACAGTATAAACAGCATATGCAGTAAGATAGCCATGCTGTAGTGCTGTCATCAGAATAAAAAGAAACATCAGTGTAGCTAAAAGAAACAACTATGCACAAAGACTACAATGACAAAAGTAAATGTTAACGTCTTCTTTCAAATGACGTCCCCATCGAGAGCCTGTCCAATCAAAGTACTGTACCACAGTAGTAGCCTGACCTTTGAGGTGGTTAGGAAAGAATTCTGCTCTGAAGGTTAGATTTGAACAGCCTGTTAATTCTCACAATATGTCACCTACTCAATCCAGGGCCAAAGTGTGGCAAGCAGGACCAATTACTGGACCATTACACTGATGTTGATTTAGCCTCCACGTGTTGGACTTCTTTAATCATTTTCTCCCTCAGCTTTTGTTTCGCTTGCCGTTAAAAACACCCCCTTTTGGTCTTTTTGTTAGGCTTGTTGTTAAGGCAATGTGGCCAGTGACTTATAACCAAAACGAAAGGCTAGCTTGGTGGTTATGTATGGTGTGTCTGTGTCTGTGTGTGTGTGTAGCTTATGGACAGAGGAGGTTTGCTGCTGGCAGGAATCAATGCCCTGGGGGGCTCTTTGTCTGAGGCTCATTCCTGCGGGAGCAGGCTTTAGTCTGCTGGCTCGTGGAGATAAGCACTCTCTCCACACTCTGAGAGACAGTGATAAGAGGATTTCTGTGCTAAATGAAAAACTACCTTTTGCGTTCCGAAATGAAGGGGGGGAGACTATCAGTTTTAGCTGGAAAAATAATACCTTCATAAAATGTTATGAAATATTATTCTATGTAAAACGTAGTATTCGTAATAATAATGTATCTGGGTATTTAATCTAACGTAAACAGACTACTTTTACAATGTACAATTATTTATGTATCAAGTCAGAATGGCAAGGACTAAATTGCAGGTCAATTACAAAGTAAAAAGTATACCTATTTTCATTGCATGGACAATCCATATAAATCTGAATCCCCAGCAAAAACAAATACAAAGCACATTTTACTTTCCCATTGGTTATTTCACACACATCTCCCAAATAAAATATATGTAGTATTCCTTTTGGAATTTTCACTCGAACCCTGCAAAACGTTTCTCTCAGCAACCATTCAACATTGCAGTGGAAATGCAGTGTCTGTCTGACTACATAATAAAGCATTTTTACAAGTCGTAACTGATGTATTTGGGACCAGTATAGTCTTAGTCCCTTATTGTTGGTAAATACAGTGGCCATGCTTGTGAAAGGAGCTTTTATTGCAGTCCTGATGTCCAGTCCACCTGCTGTTTCTCACTGCGGCACAGCTAAAAACACTAACCACGGAGACACTGGACTGCTACTGAAAGGTCACAGGACGAAAGCATTAGACTAGACAGAAGATGTTTAGATATGCACTAAGTGAACATTTGAATTCATGGAAATTACTGACATATATTAATTTGAGTTCATAAATATTAATCCGGTCTTGTTCATGTTCTTGTCTTGATACAATTCTTAACATGTTCTGGCAAAAGCAAAGAAAGATAGAGGACAACATTTCAGATAGCTTTAAAAGTATTTGTCCTAACATAACGTAAAATAATTGATCTTTAACGTCATATTTTTATATAAATTTGTAAAAGTCAAAATCACACAAAACGGTCTATTTACACAAAATGTTTATTAAAAAAACATAACTTACACAAAAATGTACGATTACTTTCCCAACAACAGTTGAACATTTAATAGTGTCCTTTAAACGCTCAAGAACCTATGGTATATTACAGCACCTTCAGAAAGTATTCATACCCCTTGACTTTTTAGAAATGTTGTTATGTTACAGCCTGAATAAATTGAGATTTTGTGTCACTGGCCTACACACAATACCCCATAATGTCAAGGTGGAATATTAAATGTAAAATGAAAAGCTGAAATGTCTTTAGTCAAGAAGTATACACCCCTTTGTTGTGGCAAGCCTAAATAAGTTGCATGGACTCAATCTGTGTGCAATAATAGTGTTTAACATGATTTTTGAATGACTACCTCATCTCTGTAGCCAACACATACAATTTAGCTGTAAGGTTCTTCAGTCAAGTAGTGAATTTCAACCACAAAGACCACGGAGGTTTTTGCAAAGAAGGGCACCTATTAGTAGATGGATAAATATAAAAAAAAGCAGACAGTGAATATCCCTAGTCACTCCACCTAGTCACAACAAAGATACAGGTGTCCTTCCTAACGCAGTTGCCGGAGAGGAAGGAAACTGCTCAGGGATTTCACCATGAGGCCAAAAACAGTTACAGAGTTTAATGGCTATGATATGAGAAAGCTGAGGATGGCTCAATAACATTGTAGTTACTACACAATATTAACCTAATTGACAGAGTGAAAAGAAGGAAGCCTGTACAGAATATCAATATTCCAAAACATGCACCCTGTTTGTAACAAGGCACTAAAGTAATACTGCAAAAAATGTGGCAAAGCAATTCACTTTTTGTCCTGAATACAAAGTGTTATGTTTGGGGCAAATCCAATACAACACAATACTTAGTACCACTCTCAAGCATAGTGGTGGCTGCATCATGTTATGGGTATGCTTGTAATCGTTAAGGACTGGGGAGTTTTTCAGCATAAAAAAGAAATGGAATGGAGCTAAGCACAGGCAAAATTCTAGAGAAAAACCTGGTTCAGTCTGCTTTCCACCAGACACTGGGAGATGAATAAACATTTCAGCAGGACAATAATCTAAAACAAGCTCTTAGAGACTTACCCAGAAAGACTCACAGCTGTAATCACTGCCAAAGGTGCTTCTACAAAGTTTTGACTCAGGGGTGTGAATACTTATGTAAATGAGATATTTCTGTATTACATCTTCAATACATTTCAAAAAAATGTTTTCACTTTGTCATTATGAGGTATTGTGTGTAGATGGGTGACAAACAAAATAAATGTAATTAATTTTGAATTCAGGCTGTAACAACAAAATGTGGAATAAGTCAAGGGGTATGAATACCTTCTGAAGGCACTGTACCTATATTTCTTACATACCAAATATCCCTAGTTGTAGACAGGGCAAGGGACTGACAGGATGCTATCCTTGTAAATTCTAAGAGTTGTCTGTTCATTTTTCAGGCCAATCTTAACATTTCGCCACTTCATGAGACATTTTAGAAAAACCTTAGTCTTGTCTGTCCATCACTTCGGCCTGGCACCTTCTCATAACTGAGCTTTCCCCTCTTCAATGGCGTTACAACTGGGGGAAAATAAGAAATAAGAGAAAAAATACATGAAAACAGGACAAAATAATCTCCTAATTGCTCACATTTACATCAATAATTATGTTCTTTTCACACTTCAGGCTATATTGGAACTTTCCCAAACCACTAAAGGACTCTAAACATGTTACTCTCAGTCTTCACCTGTGCCAACCATCTCTGGGCCTTCTGCTCTCCTCTTCCTCTCCATCCCCGTTCTGTAACTGGTCCCATAGTCAGGTGACACACTCATGTCTCCCCTCCACTGGGCAGTGCTGTAGGGGCTGCCACTGCTACTGCCCCCCCATGACAGAGCTCCTCTATGCGAGGCCAGGCTGGGGTAGTGGCTGACATCAGGGTAGTGCTGCTGGTCACTGTACCCTACTGTAGAGAACGAGTACATCTGGTTGTCGGAGTACGCTGGTCTCTGTGTGTTTGTGCTGTAGCTGAATGAGGATGAGAGGCCTGTCTGAAATTGATTTTCTGGCACGTAGTCTCTGGGGGAGCCACAGGTCTCCTGGTGTAGGGGTGCACTGCCTGTCCACTCCTCTGCTCCTCTTCCTCTATTCCAGCCTACAAACTTCACCTCATCACTCTCCTCCTCAACCTCCCATGGGTTGTGGCTCCAGGTGTGCTGAAAAGGGGCCTGCTGGAAGCCGAAGGAGGGACTCAAGTCCACCTGGATGTCTGCACTGTCCTCCTTGGTCATGACAGAGCTTTCTTCATAGAAGTTCCCAGCTACACTCTCAGCACTGGGGGAGCCAGCAAGGGAGCAGTTGGGGTTTAATGGTTCTGGGTCGTGGTGTGTGTGTGGAGCGCAGTGTGGGTGAGGGTTGCAGTCGGAGTGTGGGTTGCGGCTTGTATGAGGGTCGGTGTGTGTGTATTGGTTGTCTCTGCTTGTGGCCCTAGGCTCAGTGGGGCTATTGTGGTCTTTCTGATGCGTCAAGTCAGTGTGAGACTCTGGAGAGGAGGTAGCTGCAGTCAGCTTGTACAGAGATGTTGTGTCACTGAAGAGCTGAAATAATAATAATAATAATAATAATTAGTCATTTAGCAGACGCTCTTATCCAGAGCGACTTACAGGAGCAATTAGGGTTAAGTGCCTTGCTCAAGGGCACATCGACAGATTTTTCACCTAGTCGGCTCGGGGATTAGAACCAGCGACCTTTCGGTTACTGGCACAACGCTCTTAACCACTAAGCTACCTGCCGAAAGGTAATTACTTCAAGTTTGTATTATCAATATAGCACCATCACAGAGTTTGGCTGATAAAACGTAACTGAAGACAAAGTTCGTAATGATGAGGATGCAGCTGCTCCATAGCATATGGAAAACGCATACATCTACATTGTAATATACAAAGAAGTAATATACAACCCCATATTTTCTTCCCAATGAAGGCAAGGTGTATGACAAGACTAGGAAACTCAAGTGAAAGGAGATGGCTGGCCAGGTCACCTTGATGACTTTGTGAGGGACCTCAGGGAGCAGCTCCTGCAGCTGGGAGAGGGAGGCCCCCAGGAGCCAGTGGAGAGAGGAGCCCCTACTCAACATCAGCTGGGCCACCAGAGGGTTCACACAGGGGAACCCTAGCAGGCACCTCTCCTCCTAGGGGGAAGACATAGGGGAAGAGCAGCCGGTGAGACCAAATAAACAAACACGTACACACATGCATGCATGCACAAAGACACACACACACACACACACACACACACACACACACACACACACACACACACACACATACATCCAAATACACAAACACACACGCAAACACAAACATATTCACACACATACACATGCGCACAAACACCATCCACTGGGACAACTAATTATCTCTGTGTAAACTGTATGGTTCCATCATTAATTAACTAAATAATGACACTGGCACAATTATACAGCACTCTGAAATTAACTACATTAATTTGGTATTTTCTTAGGGTCCCCATTAGCTGTTGTGAAAGCAGCAGCTACTCTTCCTGGGGTCCACACAAAACATGAAACATTACATAATACAGAACATTAATAGACAAGAACAGCTCAAGGACAGAAACTACATCCATTTAAAAACGGCACACGTAGCCTACATATCAATACATACACACAAACTATCTAGGTCAAATAGGGGAGAGGCGTTGTGCAGTGAGGTGTTGCTTTATCTGTTTTTTTAAATCAGGTTTGCTGTTCATTTGAGCAATATGAGATGGAAGGGAGTCCCATGCAATAATGGCTCTATATAATACTGTACGCTTTCTTGAATTTGTTCTGGATTTGGGGACTGTGAAGACACCTGGTGGCATGTCTGGTGGAGTAAGTGTGTGTGTCAGAGCTGTGTGTAAATTGGCTATGCAAACAATTTTGAATTTTCAACACAATGTTTCTTATAAAAAGAAGAAGTGATGCAGTCAGTCTCTACTCAACTCTTAGCCAAGAGAGACTGGCATGAATAGTATTTATATTAGCCCTCTGATTACAATGAAGAGCAAGACGTGCCACTCTGTTCTGGGCCAGCTGCAGCTTAACTAGGTCTTTCCTTGCAGCACTCGACCACACGACTGGACAATATTCAAGATAAGACAAAACTAGCCTGCAGAACTTGCTTTTTGGAGTGCTGTGTCATAAAAGCAGAGCATATTTTTACTACGGACAGACCTCTCCCAATCTTTACAACCATTGAATCTATATGTTTTGACCATGACAGTTTACAATCTAAGGTAACACAAAGTAATTTAGTCTCCTCAACTTGTTCAACAGTCACACCATTCATTACCAGATTCAGCTGAGGACTAGAACTTAGGGAATGATTTGTACCAAATACAATGCTCTTAGTTTTAGAGATGTTCAGTACCAGTTTATTACTGGCCACCCATTCCAAAACAGACTGCAATTCTTTTTTAAGGGTTTCAGTGACTTCATTAGCTGTGGTTGCTGATGCGTATATGGTTGAATCATCAGCATACCTGGACACACATGCTTTGTTTAATGCCAGTGGCAGGTCATTGGTAAAAATAGAGAAGAGTAGAGGGTCTAGAGAGCTGCCCTGCGGTAGACCACACTTTACATGTTTGACATTAGAGAAGCTTCCATTAAAGAAAACCCTCTGAGTTATATTAGATAGATTGCTCTGAATCCACGATATGGCAGAGGTTGAAAAGCCATAACACATAAGTTCTCAACAACAGGTTATGGTCAATAATGTCAAAGGCTGCACTGAAATCTAACAGTACAGGTACCATAATCTTCTTATTATCCATTTATTTCAACCAATCATCAAACATTTGTGTCAGTGCAGTTATGCTCTTCTCTATAAGCATGCTGAAAGTCTGTTAATTTGTTTAAAGAGAAATAGCATTGTATTTGGTCAAACAATGTTTTCCAACATCCTCAGTAGCGTTCCATCTAAGTTGTCAATGCCAGAAGGTTTGTCATTATTGATTGATACAAGAAATCCACCTCTCCCACACTAACTTAAAAAAATTCTAACTTGCAATGCTTTTCTTTCATTATTTGTATTTTTATGCACGAGTACGATGGCTCACTGTTCATTGTTGGCATTTCCTGCCAAAGTTTGCCCACTTTGCCAATTAAGTAATCATTAAAATAATTGGCAACATCAAATGGTTTTGTGCTGAATAAGCCATCTGATTCGATGAAAGGTGTGAGTTGAATTTGTCTTTCTGCCCATAATTTCATTTCAAGTTTTTTTTCTTGGCTTCATAATACAGTTTCTTCTTCTTTTGTTGAGTTTAGTCACATAATTTCTAAATTTCAGTCAGATGTGCAGCCAGACGTATTAGCCATTCCTTTTGCCCCATCTCTTTCAACCATACAATGTTTAAATTCCTCATCGCCAAAAGCCATGTGGGAGACTCCACAAACATATGGAAGAAGGTACTCTGGTCAGATTAGACTAAAATTGAGCTTTTTGGCCATCAAGGAAAACGCTATGTCTGGCGCAAACCCAACACCTATCATCACCCCGAGAACAGCATCCCCACAGTGAAGCATGGTGGTGGCAGCATCATGCTGTGGGGATGTTTTTTTTTATAAAACGTAAATGTAACGTTTTTCATCGGCAGGGACTGGGAAACTGGTCAGAATTGAAGGAATGATGGATGGCGCTAAATACAGGGAAATTCTTGAGGGAAACCTGTTTCAGTCTTCCAGAGATTTGAGACTGGGATGGAGGTTCACCTTCCAGCAGGACAATGACCCTAAGCATACTGCTAAAGCAACACTTGAGTGGTTTAAGGGGAAACATTTAAATGTCTTGGAATGGCCTAGTTAAAGCCCAGACCTCAATCCAATTGAGAATCTGTGGTATGACTTAAAGATTGCTGTACACCAACGGAACCCATCCAACTTGAAAGAGCTGGAGCAGTTTTGCCTTGAAGAATGGGCAAAAATCCCACTGGCTAGATGTGCCAAGTTTATAGAGACATACCTCAAGAGACTTGCAGCTGTAATTGCTGCAAAAGGTGGCTCTACAAAGTATTGACTTTGGGGGGGTGAATAGTTATGCACGCTCAAGTTTTCTGTTTTTTTGTGTTATTCCTTGTTTGTTTCACAATAAAAAAATATTTTGCATCTTCAAAGTGGTAGGCATGTTGTGTAAATCAAATGATACAAACCCCCCAAAAAATCCATTTTAATTCCAGGTTGTAAGGCAACAAAATAGGAAAAATGCCAAGGGGGGTGAATACATTCGCAAGCCACTGTAGCCACTATATTGTGATCACTGCATCCAATGGGTACGGATACAGCTTTAGAACAAAGTTCTACAGTATTAGTAAAAATGTAATCAATACATGTGGATGATCTTGTTCCTGTAGTGTTTGTAAACACCCTGGTAGGTTGATTAATAACCTGAAACAGATTATGATAATAGCAGTGGAGAGGATGAAAATACCACATGCTACGGAGATAAAAGTCACTTTGGTAAGACTACAGTAGTTACTAGTCACCTCTGAGGGCATCACAGAAAGCCATTCTCTGTCCAGGTAGCTGGAAGGATCTCTCTCACTGGACAGCAGTGTATGGAAGGCTATCTGGCAGATCCATTTGGCAATGTCCACAACTTCTGATACAATTAGCACCTGGTATTGAGAGAAATAAGTCAGCAAAAAAAAAGCATTCATAGAAATGTTGGATCAGACTTGCATGGTTTATTTTGATTTTGAAGAGAGCTAAAATGTATTTTACCTTGACATCCAGGCCCTCAGTCTTGAGGCCAAACAGCACCAGAGAGGAGTAGACCAACACCAGGTTGTTGAAGCCCTCACTGGTCAACCTACACCCACAGAGACAACCACAAAGACAATTCAAAAATGTAATCTGTGGGAAATGTGTGTGTGTTTGTGATGGGTACTAACCCTGAGTCCTGCTGGCAGTGAAGGATGAGCCAGCAGCAGCTGTACTGCAGAGACAGAGCAGTCAGTCTAATCACTAGACTCTCACAGGCCCGCTCCTGACACAGCTCCGCCTGCTCCTGGTGATGGGGGAGACCAGAGCAAAGAACACATATGCACAGTTTGAGTTGAATGTCTTAACCTACATTTCTTCTAGATATGAGACAGAAACAGAATAGAAAAGTGTTATCAACTGGGGAAATGATGTGGTATTCTACACTGTAATAATAGGATAGGGAGGTAACTGTATGAAGGGAAAAGGCCATGGGCATACAGTACATTTTTGTGAAGAGACATCCTTCTGAAGAACATTTATTGGGACACAACTAAACAAAGGATAAGATCCTTCTAAAGACAGACAGAGCAAGGCACTCTCCTCACTGAGACTGGCTAGGAGGACCTACTTGAATGATGACTGCAGTGCTCTCGTCTACTGTAATCACAGCATAGTGGTGAGTCCCTCCAAGCATCTGTAAGGACTGAGAGTGGCTCCTCTCCAATACAGTCATATTATACCTGCAACAAAGAGACACATCCTCAAACCTACTCCAAAAATAAGGCCAATAAAGTCAACTGATTTCAGAAGTGACTTCAAATGATTCAGTGGGAAGAAGACTCACGTTGACTCCAGTATCTGAAGCAACAGAGGACAGCTGAGCAGCCCCTCAGTCACAAACAACACAAAGGGGACACTCTGCTCCAGGGACCAAGACTCAGGGTCACTAACTGTTGGATTCATAAAAACAGACACGCAAGGACACACAAATGGAAATTGGTGAAAGGAGAATTGATTATTATAGTGCCTCTACATCTGCATTGCTTGCTCTCTGGCATTTTAGGCTCGGTTTCTGTATAAGCACTTTGTGACAACTGCTTGCTGTTGTAAAAAGGGCTCTATAAATACATTTGATTATCATAATTGATTGATCCTTTCAGAATTTAATGAGAAATGGCCAAGAAGCAATTAACACCATTTCAAAGATCTTCCTGCAGAGTTCAATACAAACCAGAGGAATTAGATATTCTGGTCTGGAAGGTAATGTGTGTGATGTTCCTCTCTGTGCAGACAGCAGCCCAGGGGGAGTGTTCTGTGTGGCCGTACTCCACCACCAGGGAGAAACAGTGCCAGGGGAAGTCTGCTCCCATGTGCTGACTACACACCACCACACAGCAGCTATGCTGCAGGCTGGGAGAAGGGAGAAGGCATGACAGTACAATTTCTCAATAAGAGTTCCTATAAACAAAATAAAGATGTATAAATAGAGTGTTTTGGGAGATACACACCTATCTAGCACTTTCGCACCCTCCAGCTTACTTCTACTCTCCTCAGGACATACTGCAGCTACAGCCTCACCTGGGGGACACACACACACACACACACACACACACTCAGATAGGGTGGGGCTGATTACTAAAGTAATCTTGCATAAGACTATTGAATAAAAACACAACCGAGAGCAAGTGTAAGATAAATGCACCGCAACAGGCCATGTCTACTTGAATTGGCATTACTGAGTAATACAAACTAGACAATATTAGATCAAGTTTGTTGAGAGAAGCAATAAAGTTTCCTTACCTGTGACTTGGCTCAGGCCTTTAATGAGCATAGCTCTGGCACAGTCCAAGTCCACTGTTATTATCACCAGAACCTACAATAGAAACCATAATTACCTCTGAAATATATCAATAGTGATGACCTTCACCACATAGTATGGTTTGTGGTGAAGTTCACATACTGTAAATCCTACTGTGCCTTTTAGCTGTCATGTTGAATGAATTGCAACATTTCTTTTTCATATCCATACGCATTTTGATAGGAAAGAAAACTCACGTTGGAGTTTTGGACCCCATTGCTCTTGCTCTGCACCCATGTGGTCAGCTGTTCCTGCAGTGCCAGTATCTTTGGGTTGTGCTCTTGTTTTTTCTGACTGAGGTACAGCACAATCTCCAGCTTTCTCACCAACCTGTCCAGATTCTGCCCCGTGCAGGCCTCTGTGGCCTTGGACAGGTACTCTGTTACAGGACCAAAAGAGGGGAGTTCCAGATGCATAGAGGACAAAACCGTGGTTTGCGATCAATTAAAAGCATTGTGGAATAGCAGTGTGCTGGAGTTTAATGTTCAACTCATGTATACTGACCCACTGCAGTGCTGAGGTCACACTTGAAGAGCAGGTCCTTCACTGTCACAAGGACATGTATCAGTGCCACATGGTCATACAGAGCCTCTGGGTCTGCAATACAACATCAAACAACTTATGCTATATGTCAGGCAATAAAATGGGACGTTCAGATTCAATTACTAGGGTGCAGTATATTATTACCTTAATTTTAATTACTTTAATACTTTCAATCGTGGCTTAAACATGCTTTGTCAGATCAGAAATCTACTAAACAAATGGAAAGTCAATGAAGTACACGCCAGATTAAGCCAACACAAATATACACCAGTGTCCAAGCACGATGGGTGCCTGACTGGTTGTGTTTGGTAAATGTGTGTGTCTCACCCTGGCCCTGTCGAATGCTGAGCTCCTTCTCCTGCTGTTTCAGTAGGAAGCGTGTGTGGTCCGGGTACAGGGTGCTGAAGTCTCCACAGGCTGAGTTAGTCAGCCCCAGCTCCCTGGCTCTGGACAGGCAGGGCAGGACAAATGCCTGCAGCTCTCTGTACGCCCAGAACTGACTCTCTGCAGGAGCACAGAGGGAGAGAGGGAGGTGAGACGGCTGTAACTGTGCTCAGAATTGGACATGTGCCACAGATAGCAGGTTAATGTTTATTGGGATGAATCTTGTCCTGGAGGCAGAACTACGTGATTTCCACTAGATTGGCAAGCTGCAAAGTCAAAATTTACTATATATCGTAATAATTCATGAAATTGCCTTAATTTAAGGTTAGGGCTAGGTATAAGGTTAGCAGTGTGGTTAAGGTTAGGTTTTTAAAAAGATTGTATGACTTTGTGGCTGTGCCAGCTAGTGACTACCCTGCAGAGCTGCCTCCAGTATATGAGTCATCCCAATAAATGCCAACCTGCTCATGGTTAGGGGACAATGGAATCAGGGGTACATTTTTCACAGCATTGTCTGCATTTGGTTATCAATATACTGTAGCTATATACAGTGGGGATAACAAGTATTTGATACACTGCCGATTTTGCAGGTTTTCCTACTTACAAAGCATGTAGAGGTCTGTAATTTTTATCACAGGTACACTTCAACTGTGAGAGACGGAATCTAAAACAAAAATCCAGAAAATCACATTGTATGATTTTTAAGTTATTAATTTGCATTTTATTGCATGACATAAGTATTTGATACATCAGAAAAGTAGAACTTAATATTTGGCACAGAAACCTTTGTTTGCAATTACAGAGATCATACGTTTCCTGTAGGTCTTGACCAGGTTTGCACACACTGCAGCAGGGATTTTGGCCCACTCCTCCATACAGACCTTCTCCAGATCCTTCAGGTTTCGGGGCTGTCGCTGGGCAATACGGACTTTCAGCTCCCTCCAAAGATTTTCTATTGGGTTCAGGTCTGGAGACTGGCCACTCCAGGACCTTGAGATGCTTCTTACGGAGCCACTCCTTAGTTAACCTGGCTGTGTGTTTCGGGTCGTTGTCATGCTGGAAGACCCAGCCACGACCCATCTTCAATGCTCTTACTGAGGGAAGGAGGTTGTTGGCCAAGATCTCGCGATACATGGCCCCATCCATCCTCCCCTCAATACGGTGCAGTCGTCCTGTCCCCTTTGCAGAAAAGCATCCCCAAATAATGATGTTTCCACCTCCATGCTTCACGGTTGGGATGGTGTTCTTGGGGTTGTACTCATCCTTCTTCTTCCTCCAAACACGGCGAGTGGAGTTTAGACCAAAAAGCTCTATTTTTGTCTCATCAGACCACATGACCTTCTCCCATTCCTCCTCTGGATCATCCAGATGGTCATTGGCAAACTTCAGACGGGCCTGGACATGCGCTGGCTTGAGCAGGGGGACCTTGCGTGCGCTGCAGGATTTTCATCCATGACGGCGTAGTGTGTTACTAATGGTTTTCTTTGAGACTGTGGTCCCAGCTCTCTTCAGGTCATTGACCAGGTCCTGCCGTGTAGTTCTGGCCTGATCCCCCACCTTCCTCATGATCATTGATGCCCCACGAGGTGTGATCTTGCATGGAGCCCCAGACCGAGGGTGATTGACCGTCATCTTGAACTTCTTCCATTTTCTAATAATTGCGCCAACAGTTGTTGCCTTCTCACCAAGGTGCTTGCCTATTGTCCTGTAGCCCATCCCAGCCTTGTGCAGGTCTACAATTGTATCCCTGATGTCCTTACACAGCTCTCTGGTCTTGGCCATTGTGGAGAGGTTGGAGTCTGTTTGATTGAGTGTGTGGACAGGTGTCTTTTATACAGGTAAAGAGTTCAAACAGGTGCAGTTAATACAGGTAATGAGTGGAGAACAGGAGGGCTTCTTAAAGAAAAACTAACAGGCCTGTGAGAGCCGGAATTCTTACTGGTTGGTAGGTGATCAAATACTTATGTCATGCAATAAAATGCAAATTAATTACTTAAAAATCATACAATGTGATTTTCTGGATTTTTGTTTTAGATTCCGTCTCTCACAGTTGAAGTGTACCTATGATAAAAATTACAGACCTCTACATGCTTTGTAAGTAGGAAAACCTGCAAAATCGGCAGTGTATCAAATACTTGTTCTTCCCCACTGTACATATTTAGTAAAAGTATTTAGCTATTAATATAGGTGAACATATTTAATAGGATTATTTAGTTAAATGTGTACTACAACACTGCACTGTACCTGTGGCTTGGACATGTATGACATTGCTGTTATGTCTGTCCTCGGGGACAGGCTGAATGATTGCCTCAGGGGCTCTGATGTCATTTCCTGTGACTGCATAGGCAACAGGCTTGACATCTAAGCCAGGCCTCATTTCTGTCGTAGGTGGCTGTGGTGTCTGCTGCTCCACCTGTGGCACTGAAAATCACTTACTGACTTATTTAATGTGTTCAATGCGATGAGGGCCTAAAATAACCTCACAAACTCATGTTGTTGTGAATACTGCTTGTCATGGTGAATTGCCATGAACATGAACAGTAAAATATCATATTGTATCTACATAATACTCTACCTGGGGTGCTTGTATGGTTCTGAGGCGACACAGAGACGTAGGTTATCTGTTGGGACCTTAACATCATGAAAGTGGACAGAGGGTCTAAGTCCTTCTGAGATTTAGCCACTGGGAGACTCATGTGACTGTCTCTCACACTGGGTCTGGGGGTTGGGAGTTTGGATACATTAGCTCTCTGGTCAGGTAAACCCTCCTCCTTCTTCTGAGGTCTAACTGCATGGTCCAATTTCTCCAGGTAAGTAGTGGTGGTAGCCTGTGCTGCTGAGATGGCCATACTCCCAGCTATCTCTTTCTCACGAGAAGTGGAAACAGCCTGCGTTGAAAAGACCACATTCCCAGATCTCTCTTTCTCTTTGGAAGAAATAGATGCTTGGGCTGTGAGGGCCACATTCCCAGTTCTCTCTTTCTCCTGGGAAGTGGCAACAGCCTTTGCTGAAACGACTGTATTCCCAGCTCTCTCGCTCTCCTGATGATATGGCACAACCATGGGTGTTGCATTCTTCAGGATAGACTTGACTTTTATCTCACTTGGTGGGCCTGACAACTCTGGGGACAGAGAGAGCGAGATCCAGAACTTTGCTGCAGCCATATTATACATATTATACACATTTTCAATGTTTTTTTGAGGTACTGTGGAAGATAGCAGCAGCAAGGTGCTTATTATATTATATAGTAATAAACTGATTCATATATCGGCCTGATATTACACTTACTAGAGTCATCTACAGATTCACTCAGTATATCTGTAAAACAAGATAACACCACATCCTCAATAAGTTTCACACTTTGAAAGAATTTACAAAGTTATCTAGACAGGTAGCTAGCAATACTGCAGCGGGACAATATGTTTTATAGATCAGTCAAACTCACTGTCCATCTGGCAGGGTGATAGTAGTGTGAAGTCCTCTATCTTACTGCTCAATGTCTCCATAAGGTGGGGTTGCTCCGAGATCATCATACTCTCAGTGAAGTCAGAGGAAACATTCCCATTCATCCCTGTCAGTCCTGGTGAGCTTGTTCCCAGAAGTGATAGTTCCATTCCTTCATCGAGTCTCACAGAGTTGTCCCGACCAATCCCTAATAACTTCAAGGCTTTGGTCAAAGGCTGGAACTGCACAACAGATTCCGACTTCTGGGGCTCTGTTAGCATTTAGCAAAGAGAGGAATATGTACTTTTAGTAATGCAATGCTGCTAACAATGCAATGTGCAAACTGCAGCATGAATGCAGGCAAAGGAAGTGTGACAGAGGGAACTTAGGTAACTGTGAACTGGTAAGAGTGCATATTGTAATTTGTGATAAGTCTTGTTATGTCTCACACCTCATACAACTACAGTACTATGCTCTTACCTGCCAAAAGAAAGCCCAGCACCAAGTCAGGGTGCTTCTCTGCCCTCCAAAGTGCCTGTTCCATCTCCTCCTGATCTTTCTCAGACACTAAATAACTACAAGGAAATCACTGGCACCATGAGACCCTGCATCACTTAGTGGCACGCTTACAGAGCCATATATAGAGATATGATGTACTGTGTATATGGGGCAGCACACTTAGTGATGAAATCTCAGAACAAACAACATTGCAGGTTGCTATATCCTGTATCCTGATATAAGTAGCCACATCTGTAGTGGTAGAACATGCCAAGGAATGTACCCCAGCTATGAAAAATGCATGGTATTATCTCTCTAGTCTTACCCCCAAGAGGTGACTTACTATCTGTAGAGTGGAGAGATCTGCTCAGCTGGGAGTTGGGAGGAGGCCAGACAGAGCTGGGTCAGGCTGGGCTTGGGAGAGGGGGTGAGGGGTAGGTCCATCTCCATCTGAGTAGGCAACACCAAGTGATCTGATAGGAGGGGGGGGGGGGTGGAAATTCTAATAATTCACACATTGATTTGGTTATACCGTATGTCAATAATACATTGTACAGTGTATGTAGCCATTCTGTTGATTTATTGATTATTGACACATAATGAGAATCTACAGTAAAGTGAAATCTACAGTAAAGCGATAGTTTTGTACCTGATGACTTGAGATCCAGCAGGATTTCATTAATCTCACAGTGAGAGTCATCGACTGGCAGCCGTGGCACTTCAAACTGGGATATGTCCACTGACTCCAGTGCATCTGAGGGAGTTGCTGAAAGAAATAATATAAAAAACAGGTTGTTATTGGTAAGGATAATTTCTTCTCAATGACTTAAATGGCTAAAGGTTAAATAAACAAATGACACAGGACTTTGCGATTAGCCTCAATCACAGTCATTCTACATTGTAAATGTTGTTCCTAGATATACACTGCTCAAAAAAATAAAGGGAACACTTAAACAACACAATGTAAATCCAAGTCAATCACACTTCTGTGAAATCAAACTGTCCACTTAGGAAGCAACACTGATTGACAATACATTTCACATGCTGTTGTGCAAATGGAATAGACAACTGGTGGAAATTATAGGCAATTAGCAAGACACCCCCAATAAAGGACTGGTTTTGCAGGTGGTGACCACAGACCACTTCTCAGTTCCTATGCTTCCTGGCTGATGTTTTGGTCACTTTTGAATGCTGGCGGTGCTTTCACTCTAGTGGTAGCATGAGACGGAGTCTACAACCCACACAAGTGGCTCAGGTAGTGCAGCTCATCCAGGATGGCACATCAATGCGAGCTGTGGCAAGAAGGTTTGCTGTGTCTGTCAGCGTAGTGTCCAGAGCATGGAGGCGCTACCAGGAGACAGGCCAGTCCATCAGGAGACGTGGAGGAGGCCGTAGGAGGGCAACAACCCAGCAGCAGGACTGCTACCTCCGCCTTTGTGCAAGGAGGAGCAGGCGGAGCACTGCCAGAGCCCTGCAAAATTACCTCCAGCAGGCCACAAATGTGCATGTGTCTGCTCAAACGGTCAGAAACAGACTCCATGAGGGTGGTATGAGGGCCCGACGTCCACAGGTGGGGGTTGTGCTTACAGCCCAAAACCGTGCAGGACGTTTGGCATTTGCCAGAGAACACCAAGATTGGCAAATTCACCACTGGCGCCCTGTGCTCTTCACAGATGAAAGCAGGTTCACACTGAGCACATGTGACAGACGTGACAGAGTCTGGAGACGACGTGGAGAACGTTCTGCTGCCTGCAACATCCTCCAGCATGACCGGTTTGGCGGTGGGTCAGTCATGGTGTGGGGTGGCATTTCTTTGGGGGGCCGCACAGCCCTCCATGTGCTCGCCAGAGGTAGCCTGACTGCCATTAGGTACCGAGATGAGATCCTCAGACCCCTTGTGAGACCATATGCTGGTGCGGTTGGCCCTGGGTTCCTCCTAATGCAAGACAATGCTAGACCTCATGTGGCTGGAGTGTGTCAGCAGTTCCTGCAAGAGGAAGGCATTGATGCTATGGACTGGCCCGCCCGTTCCCCAGACCTGAATCCAATTGAGCACATCTGGGACATCATGTCTCGCTCCATCCACCACAGACTGTCCAGGAGTTGGCGGATGCTTTAGTCCAGGTCTGGGAGGAGATCCCTCAGGAGACAATCCGCCACCTCATCAGGAGCATGCCCAGGCATTGTAGGGAGGTCATACAGGCACGTGGAGGCCACACACACTACTGAGCCTCATTTTGACTTGTTTTAAGGACATTACATCAAAGTTGGATCAGCCTGTAGTGTGGTTTTCCACTTTAATTTTGAGGGTGACTCCAAATCCAGACCTCCATGGGTTGATACATTTGATTTTCATTGATAATTGTGTGATTTTGTTGTCAGCACATTCAACTATGTAAAGAAAAAAGTATTTAATAAGATTATTTCATTCATTCAGATCTAGGATGTGTTATTTTAGTGTTCCCTTATTTTTTTGAGCAGTGTAGTTATCCCCCACCTTTAGTGAGCATATCCAGGCAAGAGGTTTGGTCCTCTATCAATTCTGGTACAACATTCAATAGTTTATGAATATTTGAAAAAGGGATGCAATCTTCCATCTTGAGTGTGCAGGTGTCCATTTCAACAGGTAACATCAGAGACTATAAGAAAGGAATAACATTGTATAAATTATTCAATCTGGTAACTATTTGCTAAACAGATTTGTTATATAATCTTCCTCCTCTGTGTCATTTATTATCCCCTCTTCATTCTCTATGATTGTATTTGTACTAAGATTTTTTGGGACAAACCTTGAGCATTTCCTTTTTTTAGATCAACTGGTGCTAGGGTTCAGCTTGATGGTAAGGATGTATTACTTTTATTTCATCATCAGGATTTAGATCAGAACAAAGTATACATAATGAATCCCTATTATGTATGGTAAATACTTTATACATAAATGCAAGTCGGCTAAAGAAAAGCCAAGATTCATACTTTTTAAATTGAACCTGAAAATTACTTTAAAATGCTGCATGAATAAATAAAAAATTATAAAGCAAAGCAAACCCAAAATGCCTGTGAAGCCTTATGTATTTTTGTTTAAAGATGCACTATGCAGAAACCGCTCCACCATTTCCTGGTTGCTAAAATTCTAATAGTTTGCTTAATTTCAGTTTATGTAACAAAACAAGCAGTCATTGTGTAGAGTATCATTGTACCATCTAAACAGCTGTGAAATATATTTTACTTTCAGCTTTGTACACCAGCTTCAAACAGCTGAAAATACAATATTTGTGATTATGGAAAAGACGCAAAAACTAAACTTAAGAACGGGAAGCATAAAAATTGTGCACATAGAACAGATCTACCGCTTCTTAGACTTAATGAGAATGAAAGATCTATAACTCACATTTCTTTGTGAATTTGGTCGGGTCGCCCAAAAAGTTACATATTGTAGCTTTAAATGTGTATACCCTATGTATAAAGATTGTCTTTGTTTTATATACTGTGTTGCAAAGGATGACTATATTTTGTTATATTTATATTATAATAAAACATTAAAATAATAATAATACAAATACAAATAAATGACCTCTTCATTCAACAACGACTCGTTGCTAAAGTCCTCGTCAGTGTTTGAACAGGTTTTGGAGCTTTCCGTCTCTGCATCAAGGGGTACCTCATAGGCCGCAGAGTGCCTGAAAGCCCAATTGACATGAAATAGTTTACAAAACAAAAACAGATAATTCAGTGACACTACACAACACAGACAATTGTATATTACCACCATGAGTTATTGAAATCTAATTAATGAATTTAAAATTATCTATGAGGATTTTTTTGATTAGTTAATTGAATTTCAATTCCCTTCCAGAGTTCACTGAAATGACCCCAATCCTGTTGCCTACCTGAATATAGCTTCCTCTGACAGGATGCCTCCAGTGGAGCTGAAAAGAGGGTCTGACACAGGCAGGTTCCTCAGTCTGGATAACTTGGCTTTCAAGGAGGGCAGATGTTTCCTGAACTGTGGCAAGTGATCAACAAACAGAACCTCCTCCGGCATGACAAGATCTGAGAGGAAAATACAGGTTTGGTTATATCAGCACATGTCCACATAGATATTTTGCGACTTGTTTCTTTTAACTTACCTCTATTGACATAGACACAGCTTATAGTAGATACAGTGGGGAAAAAAAGTATTTAGTCAGCTACCAATTGTGCAAGTTCTCCCACTTAAAAATATGAGAGAGGCCTGTAATTTTCATCATAGGTACACGTCAACTATGACAGACAAATTGAGATTTTTTTTTCCAGAAAATCATATTGTATGATTTTTAATGAATTTATTTGCAAATTATGGTGGAAAATAAGTATTTGGTCACCTACAAACAAGCAAGATTTCTGGCTCTCACAGACCTGTAACTTCTTCTTTAAGAGCCTCCTCTGTCCTCCACTCGTTACCTGTTTTAATGGCACCTGTTTGAACTTGTTATCAGTATAAAAGACACCTGTCCACAACCTCAAACAGTCACACTCCAAACTCCACTATGGCCAAGACCAAAGAGCTGTCAAAGGACACCAGAAACAAAATTGTAGACCTGCACCAGGCTGGGAAGACTGAATATGCAATAGGTAAGCAGCTTGGTTTGAAGAAATCAACTGTGGGAGCAATTATTAGGAAATGGAAGACATACAAGACCACTGATAATCTCCCTCGATCTGGGGCTCCACGCAAGATCTCACCCCGTGGGGTCAAAATGATCACAAGAACGGTGAGCAAAAATCCCAGAACCACACGGGGGGACCTAGTGAATGACCTGCAGAGAGCTGGGACAAAAGTAACAAAGCCTACCATCAGTAACACACTACGCCGCCAGGGACTCAAATCCTGCAGTGCCAGACGTGTCCCCCTGCTTAAGCCAGTACATGTCCAGGCCCGTCTGAAGTTTGCTAGAGTGCATTTGGATGATCCAGAAGAGGATTGGGAGAATGTCATATGGTCAGATGAAACCAAAATAGTAAAAACTCAACTTGTTGTGTTTGGAGGACAAAGAATGCTGAGTTGCATCCAAAGAACACCATACCTACTGTGAAGCATGGGGGTGGAAACATCATGCTTTGGGGCTGTTTTTCTGCAAAGGGACCAGAACGACTGATCCGTGTAAAGGAAAGAATGAATGGGGCCATGTATCGTGAGATTTTGAGTGAAAACCTCCTTCCACCAGCAAGGGCATTGAAGATGAAACGTGGCTGGGTCTTTCAGCATGACAATGATCCCAAACACACCGCCCGGGCAACGAAGGAGTGGCTTCGTAAGAAGCATTTCAAGGTCCTGGAGTGGCCTAGCCAGTCTCCAGATCTCAACCCCATAGAAAATCTTTGGAGGGAGTTGAAAGTCTGTGTTGCCCAGCGACAGCCCCAAAACATCACTGCTCTAGAGGAGATCTGCATGGAGGAATGGGCCAAAATACCAGCAACAGTGTGTGAAAACCTTGTGAGACTTCAGAAAGGTTGACCTGTGTCACAACAAGGGTATTAACTTGAGAAACTTTGTATGACCAATACTTTTTTCCCATAATGAAATAATTCATTAAAATCTCAATGTGATTCTGGATTTTTTTTCTCATTGTCTGTCAAGTTGCGTGTACTAGAGAAATGGCTTTCATCTTTTAGTGGGAGACTGCACAATTGTGGCAAAATACTTTTTTCCCCACTTACCTTAGGACAGGATATCTCTGGATATGTAATGTTTGGGTGCACAATTCAAAATAATTCAAGGTATTTTCCTCTTTATCGTTATTCATCCAATAACAGGGGTGTCTGATACACAGATTAGGAATATTATCATTGAAGCATTATGTTATGAACTGACCATCATGCAGATGTCTTGGGCTCATTTTCTCTCCTGTGCTCTTGCTAAAGGATTCATTACAGACAAAGTGTCCCTTGTCCTTCCTAGCCTCTCTCAGGAGCCACACTGCTTCATCTCTATCTAAATCAAGCTGAGAGTTGGGGTTGGAGCTCGGTATCACCTCCAGAAGATCCACTCTCACCTGGTTCAGACTAACATTCAGCCTGAAAAATTACATCATGATGAGAAAACCCTGTCAAATGTAGCGCATACAATCCTTCAGTAACTTCTCAGGTGTAAACTGAACTTTAAGCATTTGGTTTGTCTTTAAACACACATACTGTAGGTATACAGTAGCCTATATACATGTTTTCAAATTAAGTGTTTACTTTTCAAGAGAGTATGTTGGTTGTCCTTTAATCCCCAAGTCATCTAGTACAGATCCACTGACAAACAGTTTGCAGTTGGAAATCACATTTCCTGTCAAAACAAGGAATAGGAAAAACTTGTCTATGAGTCCTTATCTAACCACTGCTGATGCAATAATGTGAATGGTTAGACTCCTTCCTATAGATAATCATGATCATACAAATCTGTGTTGAGCCATATACATTGAAAACATTTACATCTACATTGAAAAACCTTGGAATAGGGCCAACTGCTGGGTAGTCGGGTAGATTTGGGCAGATGATGTAAATAAAAAGAGAAACTCATCATACCTCTGCTCCATGGTTTCCTGTAGGTGACCTCAGGGGGGTTACCAGTGTGAGGGTAGAGGTCACTGCTGCCCAGATGGTAGGGCATCGGCAGGGCAAACCAGTTCATGGTCAACTTGAGACTAGTAGAAGCCTTTAGATTGAGACAACAATGCAATGTAACATCAGACCAAGGTTCAAATAAACCAATTTTATACGACAGGGCATAGTAAACTACTTTTTCTAGCATGGCTGCGGTCATAGGTACGGGGCAAAGCCGAGAAAATACCTTGAATAAATCATTTCAAATACTTTAGCTGTGCTCAGTTGAGTTTGCCTCTTGCAATGGAACCAATAAAAAACAAAAACAGGTTTGGTAACAATATAAAACACTAATTTATGTTTACTAGAAAGAATAAACAGGGGATAAATCATTGGCTAACACACAGGCTTCAGATTGAGGGTAAAGTAGTAAGTAGTCAACTCACCTCAGAAGAATAGTCGAGAGCTCTATATTTGACTGCTGAGAAAATATGACTTGAGAAAGAGCACCCATCTTCAGACCTGGAGGAGGACAAACAAAAGTAGAGCAAGGCTGGAGAGTCAAGATCTGAGTAGCACTTGTTGTGCAGAATTTTAATAACTCTAATACATTGATCATATTAGAGAAACAGACTTAAATGATGGATATTGGTCCTGTAACGCTAACATACTGTATTTGCATGACTTATTAGCCTATAGTATTGTGTGAGATGGTGACATGTGAGCCAGTTGCTGCATGAACATAAGCACACAAACTAACACAGGTATTTGGACTCTGTGTCAGATGCAACAGATTGTAAATAAAACATAATTTTTTAAAATGTATCACTACTTAAGAGAAGATAATTCCGTCAGCCCAGGTTCGATTGAGTTTCAAATATTTTCAAACAATAAATTATTAATCTGAGCAAAATAGAGTATTATGTATCATGCATGGCTCCTCATCGTATTTTGTCTTGAAACATTTGCATTTGTTTGACTTGTGAAATGCACTCCAACTCAGAGATCAAGAGAAATGTACTTTTGACAGCCATTTTATTTTAAAAGAAGGTACACAATGCGTACATACGTATATTTGAAGAATGTATTTGGCTTCATGTCGTCAACATCCAATGAAAATGTCTGATGGCAATCCTTGAGAACTCAGTTAGGGACACAGTAGGAAGCAACGTGGGTGGTGTGCCGGCTGTAACGAGTTTTACACCTACAGTATAATGTGATTTAAATCACATTTCAGAGACCGGAAATAACTGACCACTATTTTGATTTCATGTCCACAGATACTCCCAAGTGCATTTTTCAGACGACCCAGACTAAAACCAAAGAGGAGATGAACACCACTGAGAATGAACACCCTGGAGTCTCTAACCTCTCCTATAGCAACTTAACAAGACTACTCTTCAATTAATATTTACAGTGCATTCGGAAAGTATTCAGACAAATTGACCTTTTCCACATTTTGTTAGGTTACAGCCTTATTCAAAAATTGATTAAATTAAACATTTTCCCGCATCAATCTACACACAATACCCCATAATGACAAAGCGAAAACAGGTTTTCATATATTTTTGCACATTTATCAAAAATAAAAAACAGAAATACCTTATTTACATAAGGATTCAGACCCTTTGCTATGAGACTCGAAATTGAGCTCAGGTGCATCCTGTTTCCATTGATCATCCTTGAGATGTGTCACGAATACCACCGAGGCTGCTCCTCCTCCTTGCTCGGGCAGGCTTCGGCGGTCGTCGTCCCCGGAGTACTAGCTGCTACCGCTTGATGTTTTCGATGTTTGTTTGGTCTTGTCTAGTTGTGCACCTGTTTCGTCTTCTGTATTGATTATGTCACCTATAAGTTACCCTTTGGTTTTGTTTGCAGTTGTGTGTTATTGTCCGCCTGTCGTTTGTCTAGGTTTGGTATATTTTGTGCATGATTGTATTTTACGCGTTGCGCGTAGTCTTTCGCCTCCTGTGTTTACGAGGCCATTTATTTTGTATTTGTTCATTGAGTCTCAGTAAAGTCGTTTTGACTTATCCGCTGTGTCCTGCGCCTGACTTCACCACCACATCCACAAGTGTACCGTGACAAGATGTTTCTACAACTTGATTGGAGTCCACCTGGGGTAAATTCAATTGATTGGACATGATTTGGAAAGGCACACACCTGTCTATATAAGATCCCACAGTTGACAGTGCATGTCAGAGCAAAAACCAAGCCATGAGGTCGAAGGAATTGTCCGTAGAGCTCTGAGACAGGATTGTGTTGAGGCACAGATTTGGGGAAGGGTACCAAAAAATGTCTGCAGCATTGAAGGTCTCCAAGAACACAGTGGCCTCCATCATTCTTAAATGGAAGAAGTTTGGAACCACCAAGACTCTTCCTAGAGCTGGCCGACCCGGCTAAACTGAGCAATCGGGGGAGAAGGGCCTTGGTCAGGGAGGTGACCAAGAACCTGATGGTCACTCTGACAGAGCTCCAGAGTTTTTCTGTGAAGATGGGAGAATCTTCCAGAAGGACAACCATCTCTGCAGCACTCAGGCACTTATGGTAGAGTGGCCAGACGGAAGCCACTCCTCAGTAAAAGGCACATGACAGACCACTTGGAGTTTGCCAAAAGGCATCTAAAGACTCTCAGACCATGAGAAACAAGATTCTCTGGTCTGATGAAACCAAGATTGAACTCTTTGGCCTGAATGCAAAGCGTCACGTCTGGAGGAAACCTGGCACCATCCTTACGGTGAAGCATGGTGGTGGCAGCATCATGCTGTGGGGATGTTTTTCAGCGACAGGGACTGGGAGACTAGTCAGGATCGAGGGAAAGATGAACGGAGCAAAGTACAGAGAGATCCTTGATGTAAACCTGCTCCAGAGCGCTCAGGACCTCAGACTGGGGCGAAGGTTCACCTTCCAACAGGACATCAACCCTAAGCACACAGCCAAGAGAACGCAGCAGTGGCTTCAGGACAAGTCTTTGAATGTCCTTGAGTGGCCCAGCCAGAACCTGGACTTGAACCCAATCGAACATCTCTGGAGAGACCTGAAATTAGCTGTGCAGCGATGCTCCCCATCCAACCTGACAGAGCTTGAGAGGATCTGCAGAAAATAATGGGAGAAACTCCCCAAATACAGGTGTGCCAAGCATGTAGCTTCTTACCCAAGCAGACTTGAGGCTGTAATCGCTGCCAAAGGTGCTTCAACAAAGTACTGAGTAAAGGGTCTGAACACTTATGTAAATGTGATATTTCCGTTTTAATTTTTTAATACATTTGTAAAAATCGAAACTTGTTTTTGCTTTGTCATTATGGGGAATTGGGTGTAGATTGAGGGGAAAACATAATTTAATCAATTTTAAAATAAGGCTGTAATGTAACAAAATGTGGAATACTTTCCGAATGCACTGTATACTGTTTGTCAAGTCTCCTTCTTTGTAGTTGGCCTTCCTGTTAACGATTGGGTGGTGTGGCTGATTTTGACTGGCTCTGGGTTGGCTGCAGAGATCTTCATCCTGAAGTTGAGCATGACTGAGATCCTCCACTGCATAGATAAACAATACAACCATAATGGGGGTTAACATCCCTCTTGGAAAAGTGGCAGCCTTCATGTGGAGTTTTATCTGGATTGGTTGTCCCCTGTTCCAGTGCTGTGTCTGTGCGGAGTACTACCTGGTGGTGGTCCACCCTGTGGATTTCTTAAAGTTCAGACCCCTTAGATACAGGGTGTGGTGTAGTGGTTTGGTTTGTAGTTGTGGTTAATTCTGTGGTCTTTGGAATCTTCTACTATGGGATCTTCGTCTTGTTCCTGATTCCTTTTGGTTATGTTGTTGTGCTGCCTCTCAGTTCTCAGGGCTCTTAAACAGCCCGGGCCCGGGGAAGGAGCGAGGAAGGCGGGAAATAACATGAAGGCCTTTAGGATCATTTTGACTCTCATGACTACCATCTGTGGCAGTAAACGATATCCCATTACTAGTTGTTGTCATCAATCAAATATAGCGGAATTGTTCCCGGTGTTTGCATCAACGGGGTCCAAGAGATGCCCATTGAGGTGGACACTACCCCTCCTCTATTATCCTTGTCAGTTGCTAAAATCACAAAAACACGTAGCCTATTTTCACACATGGACACGCGCACACACACAAACACAGGTGTTCAGGCTGTGGGTGGATTTGCTTAATAGACGCATCAGTCCTTTCAGTCAGACAGATGTAAATCTGACACTCCTCACAGGAGAGACGTTTCCACACCACAGGTCTGACCCAATTTGGGTTGTTAATGCAACAGTCTGGGATTAGAAAAACAACAAACTGGCCACCCTGACATTGGTATACAGCTGACAGTCTATGACATCCACATGATAATTTCAAACACAATTGGATGAGCAATGTATAGCTCTATTCATCGGTTTGTTTATATTTTTTGTTTGTAAACAATGGAGTAATAAAACACATACTTTGTGTTATGATAGGGTATGACAGTTGTGCTAACCTCAAATGTAGCTATGTTAGCCTATATTCTTAGAGAATTAAACTATTGAACAGATTCCCAGACTGTAGCTTTAAAATCGTGATATTAGGCTAGGCCAGGGGTTCTCAAATTGGGGTCTGCAGGGGGTCCGCAGCCAGACTTGAAAATAAAATAAAAATACATGAATAATGAATATTACTAACAGATTAAACAACTTTTGGCCAAAGGATCTGTGGAATAAGTTGAAAGTGTGTAATACAATACAATGAAATATTATCATCTTAACCCTGGGCACCATGGGCCTGGGAGGCTCACAGGGATATTGGTATGCACAGCACTCCACCAATTATACATTTTTTCAACTCAAAACATCAATGCACTGTAATTTATGCTTTGAAACTGTAAAGTTTTCTCTCTGCCTCATGGCAAAATGTGTAGAATTGCAGCATATTAGCATTAAAGCGGCAACAACCGAAAATCTGTGCCCCATGAAAAAAAAAGTAGAATTGCAGAAACTGCAATATACAGGGGGTACCGGTACCAAGTCAATGTGCAAGGGGCACCGGTTAGTCGAGGTAATATGTACATGTAGGTAGAGTTATTAAAGTGACTATGCATAGATAATAAACAGAGAGTAGCAGCTGCGTAAAGGGGGGGGGGGTGAGATAGCAGCTGCGTAAGGGGGGGGGGGGTGGGGGAGGGGGGGTTGTGGGTGGGGGGGGGGGGAGGCAAATCAGTTGCCATACCAGGCAGTGATGGTGCAACCAGTCAGGATGCTTCTCGATGGTTGCAGCTGTTAAGAACTTTTGAGGATCGCAGGACCCATGCCAAACCTTTTCAGTCTCCTTGGGGGAATAGGTTTTGTTGTGCCCTCTTCACGACTGTCTTGGTGTGCTTGGACCATGTTAGTTTGTTGGTGATGTGGACACCAAGGAACTTGAAGCTCTCAACCTGCTCCACTACAGCCCCGTCGATGAGAATGGGGGCGTGCTCGGTCCACTTATTTTTCCTGTAGTCCACAATCATCTCCTTTGTCTTGATCACATTGAGGGAAAGGTTGTTGTCCTGGCACCACACGGCCAGGTCTCTGGAACGGTCATCCAACTCGGAATTGTACATCCGAAACGCGGGCCTCTTTCTAGAGCTACGACCTGAAGATCACTGACGTCATCATGATTTTACCTTGTTTTTTTCAGAGTTCCCAATTGTCTTGAAAGCAAAGTTTGATGACAAAGTTTGCCCACGAAGGACCATCGCGCCACCTTCCTGTTCAAGTGAGCACAGCACAACAAGGTGAGTCCAAAAATGTCTTGTATGCTGCTGCATAAATGATGCAATATGCCAGGGAGACATGTATACTGTAGCTAAGAAAGTAATACTAAGTGTATGTTGTGTAGTAAGCAGCTGTTAGTAGCCCATGTGCCTCACCCCAATAACTTGGTCTATTTTCCCCTCTTAATTTCGCCTACTGTTCTGACTTGGTGGTGCACATGTAGCCTATAACCTGTTTTAGAGAAATGTAATCATCGAATATTGTAAGAGATTTCATTGCCCCCTTTATTTATCCTACGGTTCTGACTTGGTGTACAGGGAGAACACTGTAAGAACGGCCCATGTTCTGAATTCTGTTGCTGTACATTTCAAAAGTGCTGAACAAATCGTTATATTGACTACGTCCATCCTAGCTCGCTCATTGTCTTAATCGAAATTACGGATTGTCTCTTATCTGCTTGTCGTCCCCTTATGCCATAGTTTGTACATCTGAATTGTCAGTAGAAACCACATTTTCTCAGTTGGTAGAGCATGGCGCTTCAATGCCAGGGTTGTGGGTTCGTTTCCCACGGGGGGTCCAGTGTGAAAATGTATGCATTCACTAACTGTAAGTCACTCTGGATAAGTGTCTGCTAAATGACTAAAATGTAAATGTAAGATAGCCAGGTGTAGCAGTATTAAGGTGTTGGGACTGCTGTTGGGACTCTGCGTTTGGGACAGCTTTATGTAGGCCCTAACAGGTTGTGGGCACCGTTTGTCACCGTTATAGTGCAATTAATGTATTGTTTAGTGTTGTAGTGGCTTTCCTGGAATGCATCCCACTTTTGTTTTTTTTGCCCCACCAAAATTTACATGCTAAAATCACCACTGATTATGAGGAGGTCCCTGATGAATTTGCTATCACAAAATGGGATCCCCGCCCCAAAATAATGTGAGAACCCCTGGACTAGGCTATGTTGTTCTGTTAGCTAATAGTTTATTTTAGCTGTAAATTAGCTTCACCTTGTGATTAATTTTAGTTAGTACACCCTGTTGAAGAGAAACTCCTCTGATATAGGCCTCTGATATAGGCCTAAGTAGCTAGCGCTTGGCCGATACTGTACTGTATTTTCTACAATACATTACCCAGGGCCTAAATAAGCTTACTGTATGATCTTTAGCCATGTGTTTTTGTTGCAAAGAGAGATTAACTATATTCTCATGAGTGGATTGTGTTATACAAAACCAATGTCTTCGTTGTAATACAAATTAGGACTAATTTATTTATCTACTATTCTCATTAAGTACATTAAGAGAGACATTACAAGGATTCTGTTAGCTAACTCTTTTTAAATATCGACATTCGCTCTCTAGTATGATTTTGGATAGCTAAAGCCAACCAGGCCACTGTCGGCTAGCTAGCTAACGTTAGCTACCTTCACTGCCCAAACAAATCAAATGTGGGTTAGCTAAGCTAGCAAGCTCTGGACATGGAAGCAAGCTCTCTAAAAAATAACAGGAAGACAGTTGTATATGACCAATCATACATTTTTGTTCAATACTTATAGCTAGCTAGCTACGTTATTATATGAAACTTACATGGCGGCGCCAATGACCTCCCTTCATCTAAAAACGAATGAAAGAACAACCTCTTCTTTACTTCAGTCTCACCTTTCGATGCCCTCACGACCTTCACTTGACAGAAAATCATGACGTCACGAGTCAGACCTTCTCCCAGTATCTCGGTTTCCACTAGATAATGCAAACCACAAAGTCAGATTCCTCAGCCACAAAGTCAAAATTGGCTACATAAATTAGCTTTTTGGTCTTAATTTAAGGTTATAGTTAGGCATATGGTTAGCAGTGTGGTTACGGTTAGGCTTAGATTGTTTGTAAGAAGATACATTGTAGAAATGGCCGGGGGTTTAGCCATAAATATGACTTTGTGGCTGTGTTAACTAGTGACGACCCAGGATCTATGCTCCCATCCTTTTTCACGCAGAATTGTATTTGTATGCTTCCTTGAGCTCAATGATCTGATTATTCGAAAGTGTGATTGAACACAGAGTTCACATTCATGAGAAAAAGTGTTTGCTCACAGAATATTTATTTTTCCTTCATGAAATATTGTAATTTTGTGTATAATAGAAACCTAATAGGCCTATGTTCAACTTCAGTCATATCATCTATTATAACGTAGTACTTGTATTGCATTTATTTCATTCTAAAAACATGTTCACTTGTATTTTATCACAAATAATAATACTAAACGTTTTTTACACAGTTACAATATTACAGGTAGATGTCATTGAACATTATGCTGATATTACCAAGTTTGACCCAAATGAAAAAGTCAGTTATCAAGATGACTGTCATGTCTTCTTACAAAACCTGAAAAAGGGATACAAAAGGTTTAGTAGGCGATGTATTAAGTCAGATTTGATCAATATACTGGAGAAAAAAAATGCACATATTGAAAATGTCATATATAGGCATACACACTGTAGGATATATCTTACCAGGTGTAACAGTCTCCCAGACAAATGACCAAAGCAAAGACTCCAATTGATCCTCCAGCAAAAAGTGATGAAACCTGCATTATGTTGGATGTACCTGGCAAACGAGAGAAAACATCAGACAACAATCTGATTAAACCAAAACAAAGCCAAATGGCTAAAGATGAGAAAAGGGATCCTTACCTCTCACTTTTGCCCAGATATCACAAGTGTGCTTGAAATCCTAGAAAATAGTTAAAATGGCACAGAATTACTAACTATTAGCACAGGAGTTCTATAAGATCAACAATCAATATAACTTTGTTAAAGATCGTCAAAACTGTCATTTATTTTTCATGAATAAACTCCACATATAATTTATTTCCAATGCATAGCAGTTGGTCTTACCCCTCCCCATTGACTAACAGCTCGTAATATGATGTAATAGTCTCTACCATTCTGTAATGGAGCATTGTAGAAGACACAATAGCAGCATCCATCGGTCACAGTTAGGGTAATCTCTTTCCCAACATCCCTCAGCTGGACCTGGGAAGTGATGGACTGTCCATGGGACTTCCTCTGACTGGAGACGTCTGGGTTCTTAGGAGAGCTGCAGTCAAACACACGGGTCCCCTCCAGTGGCACCTGGTAGAAACTGTAAACCCAGGAACAAATGAGAAAAGTGTTTGTGTCATAATAGCCAGTCAAGAGTGGCAGACCTCACTGGGTCCATTTCAAGATACTAAATCAGCATTTAGTGAGGTAAAGGGATAGAGGTAAAATTATTAATTACCTAATTGGGTCCAGAGTGTTAGTTAATCTGTGTAGCCTCAGTGGGCAAGCCTCAGCTTCGCTGTAAAAATGTATTTGGCTCGAGGCTCTATAAGATAATAAATTATTGACACATTTAAATATCATATCCAAGTCAAAGTCAAAATTAAAAGCAATATTCTGCTTCATGTTTCTCATAATATCTTCAAATAGTTCATCATCAAACTGTCACTGTTAGTTGAGGTTGTTTGTAGTGTACCTTGTAGGCTGGTTTTAGCTGTGACCGTGGACGTGAACCTGCACAGTGCAGTGATGCTGATGGTATAGGTGGTAACTGGCAGCAGGTGCAGGCAGATATCAGGGTGGTCTGAAGTGGAGCTGACGAGCTTTCCTCTTGTCATGGAATGACCTTTGATAGTCCCTGAATCCCACAAATGCTACCTGTAATAGACAGGTAGACAGATCAAATAACTATGTCAAGGTGTACGCATAGGTGTATGCAGTTCAGAGAGCACTTTTTCTAATCAATAATTTTGTCATATTTTATGGTCCTTGTTAAGATAAACTTACTCTGTAATTTTCTGTGTCTTCTTCATACTTGTCTGCTTTCCAACGCAAAAATGTTTCATTAAAACAACCAAGTCGCTGATGGCAGGCTTGATTTCTGGTATTCACAAGAGATGAGAAACAATGTGTTAAGAAAAGTTAAAAAGTAAATAAAAAAGTTCACTGATTTACGCAAATTCCTTCCACATTCTGAAAGGTTTTTCAAGTGAACTATGGTTTCCAGATTCATGAATGGCATACCTCGGCATTGCAGTGTAGCAGCCTGCCACGTCCCGGTGATGTCACACACAGAGGTCTTCCTTCCTCTCCAGCTGTGGAATCCCTCCAGACAGCGATAGAACACAACACTTATATTCTGCCATATCTCCTCTGAGTTGGCCAGAGCATGGGCTGGCCCGCATTTAACTGTAAAAAAACATGGTAGAAGTCAGATCAATTGAATTATACAAAGGAGATCCTGTGACGATTACCATAAAATATTAGATTACAATATACAGTATATATAAATACTAGTTTTGATTATTTTGTTGCAACATACTCAGGATCATGATTAAACATTAATTTACAACACAGACACAAACTCTCAATACAACCCATTACCCAATACAACATTACCCCCTTCTGGTACAGAGTAGTAAGTGCTGAAAGCAACGTCTCTCCATGGGTAGGCGCAAACATGACAAACAACATATACATTTGAATGTGAGCACTTTAACACAATATAATGAGTTCACAGTTATATTGTTACCTACCTTTGCATATTATTGAAACAATTCCCCACTACCCTGATGGTGTACAAGTTGAGAGACTATTTCCACCCTCCTGGTAAAATCCATCCTTACATACAGTACTAGTCAAAAGTTTGGACACACCTACTCATTCCAGGGTTTTTCTTTATTTGTACTATTTTCTACATTGTAGAATAATAGTGAAGACATCCATCTATGAAATAACACATATGGAATCAAGTAGTAACCAAAAAAGTTTTAAACAAATAAAAATATATTTTATATTTGAGATTCTTCAAAGTAGCCACCCTTTGCCTTGATGACAGCTTTGCACACTCTTGGCATTCTCTCAACCAGCTTCACCTGGAATGCTTTTCCAACACTCTTGAAGGAGTTCCCACATATGCTGAGCACTTGTTGGCTGCTTTTCCTTCACTCTGCGGTCCAACTCATCGCTGTGAACGTCTCACAGAGCTCTAGCTTTTGGCTTCCTGAACTTGTTAGGAACTCGACCTTTCATCTCATATTAATCTTGTCTGTCTATGACAAACAGAAAGTGTTTTTTGTTTAAAATCGATTAATTATAAATCGATCTCTGAATGTGCTACAGTGATGACATCACTCTCTCCTGCTGCGCTATGTACTGTATGGATTTCAGGCATGTGCTTTGTCAGGGGGTGTGATGTAGGGTTCAACCAGGAGTTGATGGACAGTCAGAATAGTGAATGAAATGGTAGGAGGGACATCCTAGCTTTAAGTGGTTTCAGATTTCACATCCTACGTCACACAGGCTCAGAAAATATACTACTGTGTCCATGGGCAACCGGGCTATCGCTCAATGCAAGCCATTTCGATCTGCGGTGTCCAGAGATCTATTTATAAGCGAAAATGTTGGTCAGAACCGGTACCAGAATATCTAAGAGGTTTTAAAATGGGGATAGTGGTTTTATGAGATTTGGTTTCATACAGTATGTAATTGTTATAAATGTATCAAGAACACACAGACATTTCTAATGTAATACCTTTACATAGAAAATATGTCTGGTCCCACTTTCCAATGGCAGTGCATACTGAGACATTTCCCTCTCCCACATTGTAATATCCAGAGTTACACTGATAAACCACCTCAGAGCCCATCCCAAAACATTACTGGGTGAGCGATGGCAGGGGCGAGCCACAGTCAACTTTGGGAGGCACAGCAATGAAAGTGACCATTTCTAGATACAGTACATGATAACATTTGTTCTCTACAAACAAAACATTCATCCATCTACATGTCAAATACATGAAAGAATGCAAATGTACACCAAAAAACTAAATTAAACAATGCTTAATTTCCTTTACCTTCACAAACAAGACTTCCACACACCTTTTGCCACACAAACCGAGGAGTTCTCCCTGCTTTTCCAGAGGAATCCCTCAGAGCAACTAAACTTCCCGTGGCTGACAGCTGGACTGCATTCTCAGCCGAGGGTGGCTGCTCACAATCAATGGCGACACATTGAGAAAAGGACAACACTACAGAGTTGAATAACATCCAGTGGCTACAGTATAGTATAGGGCGGGCAAAGAGATTGAGACACATACATGAAAAAAATATATACAGCTCTCTGATAATGTTCCATTATCTTAAAATAGTTACTATAATTGTAGTAAGAAGTCTTACAACACTAAGCACAAGAGGTTTGTGTTCTTTACCTTTGCACAAGGCCTTGTCCTGGTGTGGGTGGAAGGGCTCTGCTCCATTGTGAACCTGGTATCCTCCTGCATGTTCGTACAATGATCCCAATCACCACAGGTCCCTTGGACCCTACACTCATTAATGTCTAGATCCTGCGTGGCTCAGTTGGTAGAGCATGGCACTTGCAATGCCAAGGTTGTGGGTTTGATTCCCATGGGGGACCAGTATGGGGGAAAAAGTATACAAATGTATGCACTCACTACTCTAAGCTGTCTGCTAAATGATAAAATGTAGAACCAACAAGAAAGTGGCATTAGTATTAATTTCATGGGGACAGGATGTAGTACACCCAGTTATTAATCACACAATGTGTGTATAGCAGATCTGGGGAGTGGTATCTGGAATTCATTCACTCGATCAAAATTGGCATCAATGTCACGGATTCTGCCGAGGCTGCTCCTCCTCCTTGCTCAGGCAGGCTTCGGCGTTCGTCGTCCCCGGAGTACTAGCTACTGCCGATCGATGTATCGGTGTTTGTCTTGTTCTGTCTTGAGTGGTTACACCTGTTGTCTATTATGTTTGATTGTAGTCCCTATATTTACCCATGTCTCTCGTTTGGTATTGTGTGTTTATTGTTTTGTGTCTAGGCTGTATCGGCATTGCTGTTTTTGTCGTATACGTGTATTTGTTTTCCTCCCTGTTAGGATGTATTGTTTTGCATGTTCTTTACTATTAGTAAAGGACGTCTGCTAGTATCTCTGTGTCCTGCGCTTGACTTCACTCACCGCATACACGTCGCCCCTGCGTCGCCCCCGCCCCTGACAATCAAGTTTGTGTCTATGAAGTCTAACCAATCACATGTCATATCTTCCAAAGTGGCAATAATTAAAAGTATTCAGCATCGCTAATCACTGCAACTTACCCTGACAGTGGGTGCCATCGTTGGGGATGAAGATGGCCATGTTGTTGGAAGGACTGTCTCCTGCCACATGGGTGTTATGGCCTGCAGTGTGCTGCCCACATATCTTATTGGCTCCTATCTGACACTCATCTTTGTCTGTAAGAGATAAGAATAGTGGAAAATAATCGAATAATCAATCAATGCTAGCATATTGTTAATACAACTGATACCTATTAACTAAAAGATAACTCATTTCACAAATCTTCATCTTGAGTTTATAACTGGAGGTACACACCTTGACAGTAAGTTTTCCATTACCCACAAAACCACACATGCAGGTACAGACATTGGCGGTACCATCCACCTTCTCCTCAGAGGTGGCATTAGGGTGACAGGTGGCACACTGTCACGGATTCAGCCGAAGCTGCTCCTCCTCCTTGCTCGGGCAGGCTTCGGCGTTCGTCGTCGCCGGAGTACTAGCTGCTACCGATCTATGTTTCAGTGTTCTACTTGTCTTGTCTTTATTGTTCACGCCTGGTTCCCATTATGTATTGATTACTTCCCTATTTAACCCTCTGGCTCCCACTGTATTTTGTGCGTGTTTGTTCATGTTTGGTTGTCGTCTGGTGAGCGGGTTTGTTTCCTCCCTGCGTGGAGGTTATGTTATTTACCTTACCTACGAGAAAAGTACGTTTTCGATTAGCTCTGTGTCCTGCGCCTGACTTCGTCCTACCGCATCACACTGACACCCGGCCACACACACATCCAACGTTTGACCAGTCACTTGCATTTCTACGATAAATAAAATATACACTATAAAGAGAAGTCTTTGTTTGTCGTAACAGTCACCCATAAATGGTATTTATTTAAAAAGATGCTCTATGTAGTGTAAAAAAAACATCACCATTATGATTTAAGATTATGTCGATATTCAGTTGTATATTACCAATGTCATGGATTTGTCTTGATCCACTCACCTGGAATGGAATGAATAAGAAAGGCCAAGGTCAAAACTGCTGTTCTCCAATACATCCATCAATATATGTTCCTCTCCCTCTCTTAGGGATATTGCAGAGACACATCCTTTTATCCGCATCTTTATTTATTTCCGTTTTGCAGACCCCGGGGTGCTGAGCGGATTTGATAACCAGGATTGAGAGAAGGGTATCAGAGTTAGTTGAGGTCACAATGAAATCCAACCACTGCTCTGTCTTTGCTCAATGGTGATGTTGGCAATGGTGGTTTGGGGACATGTCTGTCAACATCAGCATGTTTGACCTATTCAGTTAAACTTCACATGTATGATTATGTACTCCACACTTTGGGAGACATCTAAAACACATTTGCAAATTCCACAGTCATGCGGTGTACGCTAATAAGAGCTATATATGGCATAGCAAACCCGCCTGGGCTTCATCTTGAACATAACATTATGCATTAAAGAAGTTTAAAACTAGGTAAATAAACAGTCCAATGTCTAAATGATAAACATAGATGTGGGAGTGACATGAACAATTGGTGATATACAATTAATAAAAGTAAATTAATCTTCAAAGAGTAGGCAGGCCTACTTGTTTACACATCCTGTCACGATCGTCGTATGGAGTAGACCAAGGCGCAGCGTGATGAACGAACATATTGAATCTTTATTATCTATAGTGATAATATACACAACAAAACAACAAAACGAAACGTGCAGTCCTACGGTTTAATATAACCAACAAGGAACAAACCAAAACGGAAACAAGATCCCACAAACACAAAGGGAAAACAGACAGTTTAAATATGGCTCCCAATCAGAGACAACCAACAACAGCTGACACTCGTTGCCTCTGATTGGGAGCCACTCAGGCCAACATAGAAATAGCACAACTAGAACTCCCGACATAGAAACACAACACATAGAATGAACACACCCTGGCTCAACATATAGAGTCCCAGAGCCAGGGTGTGACAGTACCCCCCCCTAAAGGCGCGGACTGCGACCGCGCCTCAACTAGAACCAAACAGGGGAGGGCTGGGTGGGCATTCCTCCTCGGCGGCGGTTCTGGCTCCGGGCTTGCCCACCACCCTCCAATAATCCCCCCATAGCGCCCCTGGTCCGATCTGGCCCCGCTGGCTGGAGCTGAACTGGACATAGTAGGAGCGGATAGCTTAAGCTCCGTTGTGGAGCCGCTGACCGGTACCTGATCAGGCACCGGTGACCCAGGCACGGGTTGTGCCGGACTGACGACGCGCACCCCTGGCTTGGTGCGTGGAGCAGGAACGGACCGGACCGGGCTGACGATGCGCACCCCTGGCTTGGTGCGTGGAGCAGCAACGGGTCGGACCGGGCTGATGATACGCACCCCTGGCTTGGTGCGTGGAGCAGGAACGGGCCTTACCAGGCTGACGACTCGCACCCCTGGCTTGGTGCGAGTGGCAGGAACAGGCCGGGCCGGGCTGGCGACGCACACCGTAGGCTTGGTGCGAGTGGCAGGAACAGGCCGGGCCGGGCTGGCGACGCGCACCGTAGGCTTGGTGCGAGTGGCAGGAACAGGCCGGGCCGGGCTGGCGACGCGCACCGTAGGCTTGGTGCGAGTAGCAGGAACAGGCCGGGCCGGGCTGGCGACGCGCACCGTAGGCTTGGTGCGAGTGGCAGGAACAGGCCGGGCCGGGCTGGCGACGCGCACCGTAGGCTTGGTGCGAGTGGCAGGAACAGGCCGGGCCGGGCTGGCGACGCGCACCGTAGGCTTGGTGCGAGTGGCAGGAACGGGCCGGGCCGGGCTGGCGACGCGCACCGTAGGCTTGGTGCGAGTGGCAGGAACGGGCCGGGCCGGGCTGGCGACGCGCACCGTAGGCTTGGTGCGAGTGGCAGGAACGGGCCGGGCCGGGCTGGAGACGCGCACCGTAGGCTTGGTGCGAGTGGCAGGAACGGGCCGGGCCGGGCTGGCGACGCGCACCGTAGGCTTGGTGCGAGTGGCAGGAACGGGCCGGGCCGGGCTGGCGACGCGCACCGTAGGCTTGGTGCGAGGGGCAGGAACAGGCCGGGCCGGGCTGGCGACGCGCACCGTAGGCTTGGTGCGAGGGGCAGGAACAGGCCGGGCCGGGCTGGCGACGCGCACCGTAGGCTTGGTGCGAGTGGCAGGAACAGGCCGGGCCGGGCTGGCGACGCGCACCGTAGGCTTGGTGCGAGTAGCAGGAACAGGCCGGGCCGGGCTGGCTACGCACACCGTAGGCTTGGTGCGAGGGGCAGGAACAGGCCGGGCCGGGCTGGCGACGCGCACCGTACACTTGGTGCGAGGGGCAGGAACAGGCCGGACCGTACTGGGGACACACACCACTGGCTCTACACCGGGATCTGGAACGGGCCGGACCGGACTGGCAACACACCCCAGTACCTCTCGCCGTGCCTCTACACCTTCCTTCCCTTCCTTGACCAGTGACCCCCGTAACCTGGTGGCCTTCTGAATTCGCCCCTTGTCTGCCTCCGTCAGCCCCGTCGTCCATGCCCTGTGCCCCCACTTAAAAATTTTTTTGGGTTGCCTCTCGTCCGTCCGACGACGACACTGATTACGACGTTGCTCCTCTCTCCGTCGCGCCTCTACCGTCTCACTCCATGGCCGGCGATCCATCCCGGCCAGGATTTCCTCCCAGGTCCAGGACCCCTGCCCGTCCAAGATCTGCTCCCACGTCCAGGCTGCCTGCTCCTGGACACGCTGCTTGGTCCTGTTATGGTGGGATCTTCTGTCACGATCGTCGTATGGAGTAGACCAAGGCGCAGCGTGATGAACGAACATATTGAATCTTTATTATCTATAGTGATAATATACACAACAAAACAACAAAACGAAACGTGCAGTCCTACGGTTTAATATAACCAACAAGGAACAAACCAAAACGGAAACAAGATCCCACAAACACAAAGGGAAAACAGACAGTTTAAATATGGCTCCCAATCAGAGACAACCAACAACAGCTGACACTCGTTGCCTCTGATTGGGAGCCACTCAGGCCAACATAGAAATAGCACAACTAGAACTCCCGACATAGAAACACAATACATAGAATGAACACACCCTGGCTCAACATATAGAGTCCCAGAGCCAGGGTGTGACACATCCTACCTTTTCCTGAATCCACTTTATGCACAGTGTTTGTGATAACTTCAATCCACACTAGGTGCTCTGTCACATATTTAAGGAAAACCCTGTCCCATGATGCTAAAAAAAACTAGGTGTGAAATGGAGTAAAACTGGCTCATCATTGCACCAATAGGGTCAACACAGTGAGAACACCCATCCACCATTTAGCTGTGTTTCCAGTTGGTTCTTGGGTAGCGAGTTATAGTTTACAGTAGTGTGGGAGGGGGAGATAAGTCCACCATGCTGCTATCATCGCCCAGCCCACCAGGACTCAGAGGGGTCTCCCTCTATCACTCCCCCAATGAGCCCAAAAACCACCAAACAAACACTCCACTAGGGTCTCTCCCATATACTGTACAGAGGAGGATGCAATGTATAGTAACACAACATTTTAACTAGATAGGCGTAGAATGCATAGAGCAGGCATGGGCCTCTATTTCAGATGACTTTTCTCAAGACATTTGATTACAATATTTAGGAATGCTAAAAATGTTAAGTTTATTGAATGTATGGTAAACAAAGGACAAAGATTAGTACATAAAGTACAAGTATTAAAAGTTTATCTAAAGTGAAGAAGAGCAAGCAGAACATAAATGGAAATCAACACCTGATCACTCAAGGCCTTTCTGTAGAGAACCTATTATTCAGATCACAGTGTTTGATTCAAGAAGCATTCAAAGTGGTCCTAAGTAGCTAAGAGAAATGCTGATTATTTCGTATAACCCAACACTATAAATAAGAATGTAAAATCGATGCAGACTGTGCAGTAACACATACTGTAAGTGAGACATGAAATGACAAATAACCATAATTTGAACATCACCACACTCATTTTGTGCAGAATAGTGGGCAGCTTTTGAAGACAATAGGGATTGATTGATTCAAAATTACAAAAACTAAACATTACTATAGTATGTGCTCTGCCTCTGATACAGTGTGAATGGATGAAATGGTCATAAAAAGGAACCGATAGAATGATCATAGAATGGAACAGAAGCAACAGGGCTGCTTTTTTGTGTGCGTGTCTGCT